TTTGTCAGGGGAAGAGGGATTGTTGGAAATGGGGTCTAATTTTCTCATTACTGGCAATACACGTTATCAGATCGACCTCTAAACAGTTTCTCCTGGAAACTATCGTGGTTAATTCCAGTGGACTTTATCACGATGTCCTAACTGATCTGCTTTCGTCGTCACCTGTCATCCCTCACTGATGCCTCGCCAGTGTATACCGATAGCGCAGGCGGAGTTACCATTCTTTTATCACCCATTAATAAACCTACTTTGTGATATTTTTTTTCAATGGATGATAATGAAATGACAATCCCGCCTGTGCTCACGGTATATGCTGGTGAGGCTCCAGTGAGGAGTGATAAGTGAGGATGAAAGGGCAGGTCAGTTAGCCTATCGTGATGAATACACTTGGAATTCAGCACAATAGTTTTCAGGGGGACCACGTGGAGGTCGATCTAATAGGGTTTATTGCTAGCAATGGGACTCATAGTTAGCATTACTAACAATCCCTTCCCCCCACTTTGTGATATTGTAATTATATATTATCAGTTCAGTTGTCGTTGAAGTAAATATTTTGTGAACTTGTGAATATCGATATTAACACTATTAGATAATTGTCAATAAATTAAAAATAGAAATAAATACTCGAAGACTGCACGCTGCGTGTAATGACAACATTGCATTCACCCAATTACGGTCGCTATCTTAAAAAAAAAATTGCTCTGATGCAATGGAACACACGCTGAGAGCTGTAAAACGGACTTCCGAATTGTATTCACCATTCCATTATAATAAATAAGGTAAATATCAGTCGACGTGGGAATATTTCTAATTTGTCTGTAATGATGACGTTTAGTACTCGAATGGTGTAGTTAAAGATTATTAAAATTTATTCAAGGTAAATTTATTTAATATTTTATTTAACTTTAAAAAGTTAAATATTATAAAGATAAATCTTTATTTGGTCTCCCAGCAATTGTTACACTGATAAGATTTAATATTAAAATTACTGTCTATTTAAACATAGTGTACAATCATTTTAAAGGAAACACAGCATGGTAATTTACAAATAAACAATAATATAACAATATATGCTAATTAACAAATAAACAATAATATGGTATAACAAACTCTTGAGGTATTTAATATAAGGTTATAATTTCATGTCATTGCAAAATCCAATGCTATATTACAATTTTAAAGAACTCTTCGCTTTACGTTGCTTTTGTACTGTGGTTATAATACTTTTAGGAATTTAATGAAAATTAAAATGATTGAATTCAAGGCATATTCATTGAGTTTTAATGCTAAGAATCTAAAGGAAAAGTAATAAGTTTATTTACGACTATAATTCTGTTTGATTAGTCCGGTCAAAAATTTTAAATGACCCATTCTAAAGAGATAAGCATACCTGTTCCAAGTTATGGTCTCTTTCTTTTTGCATTTTCCCTTAGTCTTCTTATGTCTGGAGTCTCTGGAGTGCCATGAGTCCTTGAAGTTCTCATAGATAATGCTCGGCAAGCACTTGATGGGAGTAGCAAGTCCAGTTTTTTTTTTATTATTAAGCGATTTTTTGAAAAAAGAGAATCTCTAGTGGCCCGTATTTTTTTAAGTACGTTACGAAGTAATTTCTGAGCTAATATCCTTTTTTTTCGTTTGACAGATATATGATATACTGTGGTCCCATGTTAGTCCCCATATTAGTTTTATCACACAATAATAGTCGTGTTTTTATTTTTGCAAAACAAAATCTATTTGTTGTTAATTGTAGTTGTATTGGTATCCCAAATTGTATACGTCACCTATAAGCATGAATACCATTCCATAAATTATAGAATGCAAAGTGTATATTGTTCATGGTAGCCCTCATACTTTTCCATTCCTGCTGACTAAAGTGATATGCCTCTGATTCTCGTGTCAAAGCCGTTAACTGTCCACTGTCGAACATAGACATAAAGAGAAACGCTGCTGCCCTATCCGCGACCGTTAAGTTCGCCTTTTACAACACCCACAATTGGGGGGAAAGGGATTGTTAGTAATGGGGTCAAAATAGCCCGATTACTAGCAATATACCCTGTCAGATCGACCTCCACGTGGTTCCCCCTGGAAACCATCGTGACTAATTCTAGTTTAATTCGTCAGGATGGGCTAACTGACCTACTTTCATCTTCATCTGTCATCCCTCACTGGTACCCCGCCAGTGTATACCAATAGCGCAGACGGGGTTACCATACCATTATCACCCATTAAAAAAAAAAAACACTCACAATTTTTATTTAGACTTCATTGCAGTATTTATAAAAATAATACTGTTATGAAGATAGATATATATTGAATAATAGATATATTGTTATTCTATTGTACTAAACTTTTAATTCAAAATGTTATTCTTTGAAATCACAAGTGTGCTTGTTGAATCGTCAGATCGAATACAAAGATACAAAGTCAAAATATTTAATGCAATAACAAATTATTTTTATGTATTCATCTTCTATAAGGATGCCGGAAGTCCGTCGTTCAAAGTTATTCTTTGAGTAAGTTTTATTGTAAAGAATAGTCGAGAATGAATGATATATCGTTTATAACATTGGGCTTTCGGAGGCTATTTGTAATCTACGGTCATAGATTTTTTTTTTTTAAGTTTCACGTATAAGGTAAAAGGTATGCGAAATAATACCTACTCGTATTTTTTACGATTTCGTATTACAATATTGTTATTTTTTTCCGTATTATAGTTTTTATTGCGTCAATTACCAGAACAGAATATTTACTTTGAATAGATGATAACAAAGTTCTTATTAAATAAGTAAACAGTTCCAAAGGCAGACACTATAGATGTAGCTTAGGTATATAACTCTGATCCATTCGTGTTTCTGTCGTGAAGTAATTGTGTTTGCTTGGTTATGTTTCGGTTTGAAGGGTGGGATATGGCAGTGAAATTACATATACATAGATATGACATCTTAGTCCTCAGAAATGACAACTCATGAAACGTATCATGGATAACACAGTATACTCTATTATGACCTTGATACTGTTCATGTCTATAGTCGACGATTACCACTTTCCTTCAGGTGGGCTGTCAGCTTGTTCGCCATTCTGAGTTGCATAAAAATATGTAGGTATGTATTATATTATTTATAACATAGACATAGTATAATGTAGTGAAAATAAGATAAATAGGTACCAACTTAAAGTCATTCGATTGGCTTATCTAGAGGCCGCAAAAATATATATTTATAAAGCATATTCTTTTAAAATATTCTCTCAATGATGCTTTTATATTGTATCCATCATATTTATAGGTGGACTCGTGCAACGACAGCTATGAGAATTGTCGATGATCCCAGGCTCACAAGCGGTATCGAACCCTTAAGTCTTAGGAGAGATTTTACCTCACTCTGCGTGTTCTACCGCTTGTACAAGGGATTGTGCTCAGAGGAATTATTCAATATGAATATATTATTTAAATTATTATTATTTCATTAGTTTTCTACATATATGTGTACATGGCGGTAAAGAGGTTTCTTAATGCTAAAAGCATTCTCTCTCGGTAGTCAACCATGCTTGTTTGGATGTGTATAAAAAAAACATGACGGAATATTCTCTTCATAGGGAATGTCAGAATATCGAAAGCGGTACTAATAATATTGATATATACATACATACTAAAATTACATATGTAAACGAATATATATATAACACATATACTTACACATATATAAAATATAGTATATTATAAAAGAAGTTGAGAATAATATAAAGTACTTACTGCTCGGAAAAAGTAATAAAGTGAGCATGAACGTTTTTTTGAAAGACTATTATGTGTTTTATTATTATTTGTTAATATTTAAAAAAATCCAAATGTGTGTTCAGTGGGTATTACAGTTTGCAAATTTTAGTTTTATTTGTACCAACGTCGAACTCTCACTATCTGCCTGCGTTAACCATTCTTTAAAATCATTACTCGTAAATAAAGAATTAAATAAATAAGCATTAAAAATTTTGCTCCATAAGAAAACTGCTTCAATCGTGGCAAAACCATTTATTTTGATTTAAAAACTAAAATAATTTTAGTAAAATCTATGGAATCAATCTGAAAGTAAGTATATACTCGTATATCCTTTCAGATAAAAAAAATCCAAATCGGTTTAAAAAGGACGGAGTTATGAGGTAATAAACAAAAAAATATAACCATATTGAGAAACATTTACTATTACTTTAGTTCTATTTTTAAAACTTTAAAACTTGTGTTTACTTTTTAACGATATGGGGTTTTCTAATTTTAATAATACGTAATTTCTATTCTTTAAATTATTTATTTTGAATTGTAAAGTTTATTTATTTATTTTGTAATAGTTCGGGGTAAATAAGTTGTACAACTAGCTTTACCTATTTACATATATTATATACAGAAGGTATTTACAAAAAAAATATACAGAAAATAATATAGAAAAACAGAAATTAAGTGCGCGGGAGGCGAGCGATCGAGATAAAGTGAATGACAGCGAAAATGAATGTAAGAAGAAAATGTCGCTGTCATGTCTGTGCGGCCAGTCAGAATGGAGGTCAAATATCTATGTACAATTTATTTAGCCTCTTTGATGAAAAGAGAAGTGATGATGTTGATAAGTGGCTATGAGATGAATATGTACAATATTTATTTACATAAGCTACAATTCTCACTAGAGAGGAACTGGACGGAGAGAATTTAATAGGTGTTTAAGTAGGCAGGTATCAGAAACGTACCGTGTCAAGAACAACGATTCTTGAGGAGTTTTAAATAAAATAATAATCAAATTGTTATGATTTTCAAAGAATACAATAGAACGTTATTTCAAAAATATAATTTATTTAGGTTTCATTTTCTGAGTTACTTAATATAAATTGTAATATATTTATTCGTTGTTAATAAAATATTTATAAATTATAATACATTTGTACAATTCAACTATAATTACATAATGGGTTACATACATATAGCACAACTTAATTGTTTAAATATATTTTTATATTGTAATATTTTTTTTCAAATTTTGTACTAATCAGTAATGACAATTTAATTTTATAAAAATACAATGAACAAATTAAGACAAATATCGTTTCTTTATTATTAATTTTTTTTCTTAAAAATATTAGACAAAGGCCGTCAAAACCAAACAGCCAGAGTAACCATCAGTAACCATATAAATAAGGAAAGCCACCAACGTGCGGGACCGCTGAAAGAGGTACGAACACTGGCATCATCCTCTCCGCTTGCATATAATGCGTTCTGGTATGTTTCTTTAAATGGTCACGTCTACCAAACTTCTTTCCACACGTAGGGCACGGAAATGGACGGACTCCAGAATGTATTCTCTTATGCCTCGTCAGTTCTTCGTTTCTCGTGAAAGTTTTACCACAATTTTTCTCATCACATTTATATGGTCGTTCTCCTGTATGTATCCGGATATGGCCTTTAAGTTGTCCATTGTTGGAGAAACCCACTTGACAGTGTGGGCATTTGTATTTCTTTGGACGCTGTTTTCTTGCATTGAGCAGTTTCGCTTCGTTCTCTTGTTGTAGTATTCTTGCGTATTCCAATTCCATTGCATAACCTTGTGCTAGGGATTCCAGTAGAAGAGGATCGGTCGGTGGAACGCCTAATGCTTGCGCGATTTCAGCACCGGGAAGATATTCAGGTATGTATGATGGACTGTACACGTGATGTGGTATAACAGTTGGTGGTATAGGGGTAGGAGTGTAAGCATTTTCTACAGGATCAGAAACTATATTTCCTTCCTTTTTATTTTCTCTTTTCTGTTCAGTTTTTCTTGCATCTGGATTTTGGAGCAGCCTATCGCAACATAAACTAAGACTTGTAACAGGAGATTCCAAAGAGTGTTTGCTTTCGATGCCTTTATTATTAATTTTCTTATCTTCGTCACTGTCTGCAGTCGTGGTCGATACTGTTGCGTCTTGATGAATGTTGATATCCGTCTTCTTATAAGTGCCACGTATTTTCCTCAAACGATTCTCTCTCTTTTCCCCCAATTTTCTTTTCTTGTTATCTACATCTATTTTGGTCGTTCTGTTATCGTTTGTTTCTTCGTTTCTCTTTTTACTGTCACTCACATCCCAAGGCCTAAAGAGCCTAGAGTAACTTTGCTGAATAGATAACATGTTTCTAAAAAATTCACAGTATACTCACTCGCGATCGAAGTCATCGACTGGGCCCTTTTTTCAGCCCAACAACTTTTATATACATTCCTTTAACAATAAATTTAATAAAGGCGCCCAAAAGTAGAGGGATAGCCTATGCCATTCAATGGATGAAAGAGACGAAATATTTTTCAATTGTTGCACACTTGAGGTTTTGTAAAACTTTTTGTTTATGGTATAACGTTTTTGTTTTGAATTTGTTTCTTTATTCACTGACTTTACAGTTGATATTTGATTGTTTGGTTATCGGCAGATATGATTCTTTTTTTGTAAATGCTGTCATAGTGTCTGAGATAGGGGTGTGTATTGTTATTTATGTTGATTTTTGTGCGTAGTCCGGAGGGCGGGCCTGGGGGCCGAGCGACATGCTCGAGTGCCCCCACAGCTGCAAGCTTGTTTGTTTTAATGGTTTCTGCAATTGTTGCGGTTCCCGGCATATTCCTATATTACATGCGATGTGTATATGCCGTCTGTTTATGGGAGACTAAACAATTTTATTCCCTTGATAACGTTATAGAGAAATGTTTGAATTAATTTATTATAAATTCTAATTAAATAAAGTCGTCGTGGGTTATAAAGATGTATACCTACTTGCATTGTGATTCTCACCTAAGTTAGGTTAGAATCGAATAGAATAAACAGAAATAATAAGAAATATTTACTATTTTACCTAAAAGATTAGTTGTAATGGATAATTAAAAAACTATGGACATTTTTAAAACAACTTAAAAAAGTAGGAGATTCTCAATTCCGTTGTATTTTTTGTGTGTTACCTCATAACTCCGTCAGTTGTAAACCAATTTGGAAAATTATTTTTTTATCCGAAAAATATATTAACAGATTGGTTTAATAGAAATATAAGAAACTTTAAAATGCCCTATTTAAAGAACCGCATGCTGTAGACTCTAGGAAAGCCTTGGCAGGAAGATCTTTCCACAATCTGACTGTTCACGGGAGAAAGGTCCTCTGAAATTGTGCGTGACCATTTTGGTTCTAAGATATGAAGTGATGATAGATTCTCTGCCTATAGTGAACGGTGCGATTTTTAAAAATGTTCGTAGGCGTCATATCGAAGAGTTCTTTAGACCACGAGCCGTTATACAGGCGGTAGAAGATACAAAGAGAAGCAGTCTCGCCTTAATTACTTAAGTCAGCTAATAAGGTGCAAGGCCAGATATAAGTGCATACAATTGGATAGGCAACAACAAACCTTATATTTAAACGTTAGTATAACATTACTGACTACTTACTTATAAATATTAATAAAATTTACATATAAACTAAACATATAAACATTATGAAAATATGATATTGTAGTGACAAAAAAAAAGTAAGAAAACTAAAGGTAGAGGCTTATTTTTTATTGCACAATCGTTGAAGATTACAAATGAATAAGAAAAACGAATGATCTCGATCAATTTCCTGGTTTTATTGTAAAAAGCGCGTTGTCGCTAGACGCACGATTGATTGAAAGGATCAATCTAAACAAATCAAGTTATAATCCGACACAATACCGCTTGATTGCTGTTTCTTTTCATATCTATGTGTTCCATATTTGAACAAAATTGGGGAATTGGCGCGAACTGTCAAAAACCACAGACTCAAGTGATGGATCACGCGACGTTCATATTTTTAACATTTATTCGATTTGCGATGTTACAATTTAGTAGGTAGGTAAATGAGGTTCGGTTTTTTTTTATAATTTTTTTAATTTGAATTCATGAGAACGAAGTATCACTATCAATAAACAGGTAGGTATATAATATTATTTTAAAAAAAAATTATTTTTTAGTATTTGAATAACGAAAATATGAATAACTAAAAAGAGGTAACTCAACTCCAGAAACAAAAACCGGGCAGTTCCAATATCTTCATCTGCCATTTTATTATGTATACTTATACTACCTATCATACATATTACATCTAGTATATCTTCAAAGATTTCATTAACTAAAAATATATTGGAGTCAATATTTTGTGACTGAAAAATTTTACACTAGAAATTAAAGTTCTATTACGGTTACGGATCTCCAAAAATCTACGCATTTATTTAATTTTTTGTTCTATTTTTTAAATTTATTTCAACAATCAAAAAATTACAATGAGTGATCACCAGCAACCCCTATTTTTATCAAAATAACGGACACAGTAAAGCTCGATTCGTCAAGATTTTGACAAGACGCCTCTCGATTCTTTTTCATGGTTTCTTGTATTTAGAGGTTTAGCGTACTCCCGCCTTTAGTAGTCGCGGGAGCGATTGATCGATTTAATTTTATATTCTGTATCTATGGTTATTTATTCTTCGAATTGAGTGTTTGCTGTTTGAATTTAATTTTTTTATTAGACTTTTTTATTAGGAGGTAAGCGGCCGTCGCGGTCCATAACAGCTTGCTATATAGTACACATTTATTTTTGACACGAATATCACTATATTTTTCACTTTTTAATACATACATACATACAAATATCTTGATAAGGTATCTAACTTAACTATTTTTCACTTTTTAATACATACATAGATATAGCAAGTAAGCTGCTTGACAGAAGAAGAGATGGACTAAAAGTGAGATAGAGGTAGGTATACCGATAATAGGGACAATTCTAAGCTGCCATTTTTCGGTAATCTCTTAAACTAATTTAATTTCATAATTTCACGAAATTACTGTTTTATAGGCCATCATAAAATTTATAATAATTTTGACTTAAGTAAATACATAAGAACAATAGTTTTATTTATTATATTATCTATTATAACTAAGATTATAACATTACAAATAAAGATTTTGTTTTCATATCTTTAAAGTTAAATTTTAAAGATAAGTTTAGAGAAATGGTATTTATTTATTTATTACTATCATTATGGTACCATATCAATCGACTATAATATGCTGATAATTTTTTTAGTATTTCTATGATTAAAGTAAGCAAGTGAATGTATTTTATTATGTATATATTAGTGTAAAGATTATCTTGAACAAGGAAGGTAGCCTCAAAACTAAAACCAGTGTGCCATCCTCATACGGGTAGTAGACAATGGTTATATAAATTAATTAAAGTGTTTAAACGTAGATAGACACTTAATCTTTATTAAATTATAACGAAAATTTGATGCCCCTCTATATTCTCTGATTCATTTATAACCTAAAAGCAATTCAACGACAATGGTCATTCAAAATTGATTCATATACGTCGAATGCCTTAATTTCTTTATGAAAATCATATAAATCTTCAATATAAAGCCTCAAAGATGATTCCAGAGTACCTTTTAGTAGAATTTTATGATATCTGTGACGAGTTTATAATTTTTTTTTTCTATTATTATAGTGCTCTAGTTTTTTGTTGATCGCTTTGTAGCGGTCAATTACTACGGTTGTCGTGAATGGTGCAACTTTTGTGAATGGACACGAAAAATATGTACTGAATGTATAAAGGGTGATCAAATTTTTATTTATTTATTTAAAGCTCGTTTCCATGGTTTTTAATTTTTACAAAAAGTGAGAAGTTTGTACTAGGTATACCTACCATAACGAGCCTTTTAGAATCTGTCTTTATTGGTATTGTTAACGGATTATAAAAAAATGGTTTATAAGGCAATATACGATACTGTGTCAATACACATGATTACACGCATACATTCTATAAGAGTAGTACAAGAATAAATTGACGAGTGTTGAGTAGGTATTTATTTATTTATTTATAGCAAAACAACAGATTACAAATTAATACTATGTTAGTAAAAGAAATATCTATATAAATATATGCTATATTAGTAAAATAAATATTACATAAAACAGCATCAAATTTGCACTCCAATAATAGTTCTGCATAACATTCGATATTATAAACATTAAAATAATAACGACTATAAATTTAAAATAACCAATTGGCAGCCTTAATGTAACATTGCAAGAATTTTTGGAAAATATCAAGGTCCTTGCATACATTGTTATGTTTTCTGCACATAATATAATAATAATAATATATAATAAGAGGACAATCACATCTGTCGCTTTGTTTTCGAGCTACTTTGTGCTCTGAGGAATAGGATAGTACGGAACATCCAGATCTGAGCAAATTTATAAAAATTGGGTCAAATTAGCCCGATCAGGAATCTAACCCGAAACGTTTTTACGCGAAGCAACGTGCCCACTACTGCGTCCCGAAGGTCGTTAAATGTTTTAAAGATCTGTAAAAAACTTAACAATTAATTAAAAAACTAACAAAATTTACCAATCCCACTGTATATAGAATATTTGCGACACCCATGTGTGGTCTATGTTTGAAGGGAACTATCGCCAAACCTCATAATCTGTGACAAGAACAAAAACCGCCATAAATCCAAAATGGCTGACAGTCATTGTGGATACGTCCATTGATAAAACGGTCAGACTACTTGACGCCGGTTTGCCCTTTATGCAATTGAGTTATTCGACTTGTGTTTACGCTTACCAGATATTTAATATAAGTTTGAATTGGTTTATTTGTAATGGATACCTGGACATTACTTTTGCAAGTTTTACCATCAGCAAAAATATTAAGAACATATAGTTTCATAATAAGAATCTATAGACAGACAAGTATTTTTAGCTAATTATTAAAAATTATTTCAGATATACATATATTTCCGTCACTAAGTACATTAACTAAAAAGATAGTACTTTTATAATAAAATAGTAAAAATTTTTAAAAAGTCTCCATCCAATCCCTATTAAAAATTATTTTACTTATTTTAATAGTATTGTAATACTACTGATGGAATAGATAAATACTTAATTAAAAATAAACTACGCGCTTTGTGTCAAAAATTAAAAAAAAAAGTCAATAATCCAATAAGGACGTCACCGCAACAAACCGCTAATCTCGTCATCGGGAATTGAACCCCCATCGTTTGGTAATGGTACACGAGGGTCAATGGGGAGGAGTCTCTCCCCCTTCTGCAATGTGAGGGGCCAAAAATTAGGGTTACACAGTGAAATTATTATTACATTTTCAGTTAAGCTT